TCTGGAGAGTGGCCGGAGCTGCTGCGCTGGTCCACCGTGCAGCCGGCCAGGCAGAGAACCCTGCGACAGCGGCGGGATGGGGGCAGAATGTCACGGGGAGGACTCAAGATCAGCGGCGAACGGTGATCATGTAGCTGGACATAATAGTAGGGAGACCATTGACCTATAATAACAGCTCAGTACTTTAATAAAATTTCTGTCAGATCTAAATAGCATACTGAAAGACCAGTATAACGCCTTTTGGGGCGACTAACGGAGCGAGCGAGAGGGTGGGCCTTGCACGTGCGAAATTGCGAGGGGGTACCTCCAACTGACTTGTGCACGGCACCCTACTAACTGGTCTCTAGCGATGTGCCAAATTTGGGCACAATCGGCCCAGCCGTTCTCGAGATCTGGAAGCGGCACCCTGCACGTGCGCACGTGCAAAATGGGTCCCAACTGACTTGTGCACGGCACGCTACTAACCGGTCCCTAACCGTGTACCAAATTTCAGCGCAATCGGTCCAGCCGTTCCCGAGATCTGGAAACGACCCCTGCACGTGCGCACGTGCAGCAGCACCCCAACTCTGGCACATGTATATGCAGTGCCTAGTGCAGGGGTCGGCAAATGGTGGGGCATGCCCCCTTTGGGGGTAATGGAGCCCTTTCGGTGGGGGTAATGAGGGATTCTGACAAAGCCTATCTTTTTAGAGTTTGTAGCTCCAGTGATGGAGCCATCGTGACTGTTGCATCCCAGGGTTCAAAGATTAGCCCAGGCCAAAGGCACAGCACACATTGATTAGATACCAATTTTCACGTACCTGCTCGCCTCACCATCTCACCCCTCCGTACAGTCGTACAAAAGCAGCTGCAACTTTTAACCGTCGCCCGTCTGTTGGCGTTTCCACAGCCGCTAACGTAAGGGGGAGGAGTCGGTCGGACCCCCGCGGCCTCTCGGACTCTGAGATGGAGCTGTGCATAAGACGAGCGTATTAACCGTGACTATAGGAAGCCGCTGCCAGTGTCCCGAAATCATATTTGTGCTTGGGTGTCAGAGGGGAAAATTGCTGACCAAAAAAAGGATGAGAGTGAAAAATTATCGGTCAGGTAAGGCCCAAAAAGAGTGGGAAAATGATCAAAAGCATTAATCTATCTACAATTGTGACAGATGCAAAACAACCATTCCCGCAGTTGCTCCTTCTCGGTGGAATTGGGAGTGGAAAATTGGGCTTGAAAACTGGAGGTGAGAGTGGAAAATGATTTTCATTTGGATGTCGTTTCCCACCCACATCTACAAATTTTGGGACACTGGCCGCTGCTGCCCATTTTTAAGGTCCTTGGTCATTCCGTCTCAAGAGGGCAATGACAAGTGTCGAGAAAATCGGGACCCGCTATAACTTCTTGAAGTGAGATTTTATGGTTCAAGATGATCTCCAGAAAAAGCTCATAAGCCAACGGTCATTATGGGTCCAGAGGCCAGTTTTACCAACAGAAAAATAGCCGCCAGCCGGAATTTTTTGCCTAAAGATCGTTTCACATATGGAGCGTAAACGGTAAAGCCCTATCAGCTTACGAGCCCATCGCGTTTGTATGTGAAGCGGTCTTGAGGCAAAAATTCCGGCAGGCGGTTATTTTTCTGTTGGTAAAACTGGTCTCACGTCATGATATTTTCCGGGCTGGTAAAAAAAAAAATGATGGGCTCGAGGGTACAATTTGGTCGTGATCCAATGCCTTTAACGTGAGCTTTTAACGAAAAACCACCCGCCGCCCCTATACGTACAAGGGTTAAATGGGATATAGCATAGGCGGCGGAACGGGGAGGGCACCGGGGCACCGTGCACCCTTTGATTTTTGCATTTTAACATTAGCCCTATGGGCGTTGCATGGAAAGAATGGGATCAAAAGTCGGCAACGCCCCCCCCCCCCTCCCCCTTAACTGAAGGTGTTCCACCGCTACTGGGATATAGGTATTAAATGTTTTGTGGAGGAATCAGGAAGTGTCATGTTTTAAATTTGATGCATTGGAAATGCACAAATACCCAAAGAGTTCCAGGACGGTATGGAATTTCAGTTAACTTGGTTGTGTCAGCAATGGGGTCTGGTAGGTGGGGGTAATGGCCCTGCCTGGCGCCCAAAAAGGGGGCACGACCCCGAATGACCTGCCGACCACTGGCCTAGTGGGTGCCTACCTACATGCCAACTTTCAGCGCAATCGGCCAAGTAGTTACCGAGATATTGCAACAATTACAAAAGTGACACCTCTTCGTTTTGCACGTGGCACGTGCATAAGGGGTCACCCACATGCATCGAGAATAGTCCAATACTTGGTAGAAGGAATGAAGCTACCCTACAAAAATTACCGCGTGTAAATCGGTCAAGTGGTTGCTGAGATATAAGCCTCGCAAAAGCGTGACCACGGCCGGCCGGCCGGCCGGCCGGCCGCTCATACTCAGAAATTTCCGTTAAAGGTAGTGTGCCAGCTTTCCTGGACCGTATGGAGTTAATGGCCCAGATAAGGAGAACCGGATTTTTAGAACTTATCCATACCTTCAAAACTCATGGAAACGTCTTAAATTCTTCAAATTTTGAGTACCCCAGTGCGAAATTCGCCCCGACGGGTTGTCGGTCGTACCCCAACCACATTTCACACCACTATGAACAATAAATGCACACACTGAAATCGCTATTACCGATATGCTCATCCAATCAAGCTTCGATAAACCCGTTCATCATCAGCTCCTGCGGTTTCGAACACGCCTGTTAGGTGGTGCGGTAGACCGCGCCCAAAGCCAGGGCCCCGGTGACGTGAGGTAGCCGAGTCAGGGCAGCGTGCGCTGACCCAAGCCGGAGCCGCGCGTCCTCCCGGTGTCATGTGATAGCCCGGGGCTGCCCGCGGGGATGCGGTAGACCGCGCCCAAAGCTGCGGCCCCGGCTTGGGTCAGCGCACGCTGCCCCGACTCGGCTACCTCACGTTACCGGGGCCCTGGCTTTGGGCGCGGCTTCTGCTCATACTTTGTGGTGCGGTGGTGGTGCGTCGGGCTGCGCGCTCTGACTTCGGCCAAGAAAAATGCGTCAGCTGATCATTGTCATTTCTGCCACTTGCGTGTGGTGAAATGGGGTCATAACTTATGAGACGGCTTTTTCATATCAATTATTTTACATAAAATCATATTTCAAACCATAAATAATGTTCGACAGCCAAATAAAAGAAACAATACCAATACAGGCTTACAGTTTAAGGCTCGACATTGTGTTGTCTACGATTAGACAGCTGATAACTCATTCCCGTACGTCGTATGGTCGTAACACTATAATGACCTTTGCTTATTGTCACATGTGCGCCGCATTCGCGATTGTTGCCGACGCCTGTTTGCAGGTGAGCCCACTACAGTTGTTATACATATCTAAAAACCGATAAACTTTTAGGCGAAAAAGGCACTATTCCAGGCCCATTTTTGATTTTTTTTGCGATATTAGGTAAAAACAGAAGCTTCTTATCCTAGGAAAAATAAAATGGGAAATCTTTCAAAGGTGGCACACTACCTTTAATCTAAGGAAAGACTACGCTCGCTTCGCTCGCTCCGTAATAAACTCAGATACAATATTCTGGCCAATAAACCAGTATAGCGCCTTTTGGGGCGACTAACGGAGCGAGCGAGGGGGTGAGTCTTGCACGTGCGAAATTTCGAGGGGGTACCTCCAACTGACTTGTGCACGGCACCCTACTGACCGGTTTCTAGCGATGTGCCAAATTTGAGCACAATCGGCCCAGCCGTTCTCGAGATCTGGGAGCGGCACCCTGCACGTGCGCACGTGCTAAATGGGTCCCAGTCACTCCCAACTGACTTGTGCACGGCACCCTACTAACTGGTCCCTAACCGTGTACCAAATTTGAGCGCCATCGGTCCAGCCGTTCTCGAGATCTGGAAACGACCCCTGCACGTGCGCACGTGCAGCAGCACCCCAACTCTGGCACATGGATATGCAGTGCCTAGTGGGTGCCTACCTACATGCCAACTTTCAGCGCAATCGGCCAAGTAGTTACCGAGATATTGCAACAATTACAAAAGTGACACCTCTTCGTTTTGCACGTGGCACGTGCATAAGGGGTCACCCACATGCATCGGGAATAGTCCAACACTTGGTAGAAGGAATGAAGCTACCCTACAAAAATTACCGCATGTAAATCGGTCAAGTGGTTGCTGAGATATAAGCCTCGCAAAAGCGTGACCACGGCCGGCCGGCCGGCCGCTCATACTCAGAAATTTCCGTTAATCTAAGGAAAGACTACGCTCGCTTCGCTCGCTCCGTAATAAGGCCATGAGTACGGTATCAAACAAAACATCAAGTCTCTACATCGACGAAACTCAATCTGAGACTAGTTAGGTAAACTACAATTCCATTCACATCATAAAACAACCAGCAGCACCCCACAATCGAATTCATTACTTTCGAGTATGACTCACCTGACCAAGTCGAGGTGTCCTCCACGGGCCGCCAGGTGTAACGGACTGAGACCCTCGCCTCCGAGGCCGTCCAGCGAGCAGCCGTAGGTGCACAGCGCCTGTGTGATGGACAGGAGACCCTCCGAGGCGGCCACGTGCAGCGGCGCGTCACCAGACTGTCGAGGGTGAGTGAATATGTTCGTTAGAGGGGAGCCAGAAGTCGTGAGATCGTTTTTTTTTTTAAGTTAAAGATGTGAAACGTCCGGCCGGTTGACAGTAAAAAAAAAAACGATTGTCTCAACATTTTAGTATTGTCATCTTCCACACTGCACACCTTTGCTCCCCCCCCCCCCTTACACCTCTGCGGCTGATTCGGTAACGACGGCGTGGATGAATGTTTGGACAGGGTGTGTTTGGCCAGAAACTTGGCCCGGCGCCGGCGCCGCCCCCGGCAGTGTTATCAGGCCGGTTTCTATAAATAAACCGTTGTCGCTGATATCGGATGTGGCGGCTCTCACAGACTTCAACCGCGCAGAGCTCTACGGCCGTCCTGCCAGCTCCGAACCGTCAGTCCGAGGTCGGCAGCCGGCGCCGGTGGAGACATTTGCGCCAGCATGGCGAAGTGCACTGTGATCGGGGTGATACTGGTCTGGACCGCCGTGGCCGGCTGTTCCGCGGAGCAGCAGCAGCAGCAAGCCGTCCTGCCCAGCGCCATGGCTGACGACATGGTCAGCATCATCGCCAGAACAGTTCAGGAAGAACTCCGGCCCATCGTCAGAAGACTTGAGTCTCGGATGGAGTCGCTGGACAACAGACTGTCTCTGCTCGACTCTCGAGTGACGGAACTTACCGTCAATCTTTTGAGGAGCAGCCTGGGTGAGCAGATGGATGAGCTGTCCAGTCAACTCACTGGAATCACTGCGAGACTCGACCACCAGCAGTCACAACTGACTGATCTTAATACCCAGTTGAACAGTCAAAAATCGGTTCAAAACGAGGTTTCAGTCAAAATGGATAACCACACGGCACGCCTTGACAGCCTGGCTTCCCAGGTTGACATTCTGGGATCCAAGCTGACCGTCGTGATAAACAAGACATCATCCCAACAGGATATCATTGAAGATCCGGCTGCTACGGTAGATCAATTGACCCCTCCCCGTGATTGCAGCGACCTGCCTGTCGACTCCCCATCTGGGGTCTACCTCCTTCAGCCCAGTGGCGACAGCCAACAGCCACCCGTCAAGGCGTACTGCGATATGGACACTGTCGGAGGGAGATGGACGGTAATCCAGAGGAGAGACGACTTCCAGCCCCGCCAGAACTTCTATCTCGGATGGCAAGAGTATAAGAAAGGCTTTGGAAATTTAACAGGAGAATTCTGGCTGGGTTTAGCGAACATAAGGCAGCTGACGTCATCAAACGACCGACGGCACGAGCTCCGCATTGAACTAGAGGCTTTTGACGGCAGTCAAAGATACGCTCTATACCAAGACTTTCGCATCTCATCTGAGCTGGATGGCTACACATTAAGCATTTCTAACTATACGGGAACTGCCGGGGATGGTCTCCAGTGGCAGTGGAGCGTCAATAGGAAGTTCTCGACCCGTGACCGTGACCAGGACGGCTGGCCTGACGGGCACTGTGCGCGGCGCCATCGGGGGGCCTGGTGGTACGGCGAGTGGTGCGAGTTGAGCAGCCTGAACGGACGGTACCTGGGAGGAGCGGACTGGGACGGGACGGGAATATGGTGGTGGGAGTGGAGACGCAGGGAGTCACTGAAGAAGACCGAAATGAAGATCAGGCGGACCTAAGTAATCTACACAAAACGAGGATATCACAGTGTTGTACTGCTATGCAGTGCTAGACGGACAAATTCTCACATGCGAGATAGGACTCTTAGGTATTAGCCGGGTGTAAATTTGATGGAATAGTTTAGTAGGTGAGAGGCATGTACAGTAAGGGCCGGTGAGGGAACGTATAGAGGCCTGCATGCTGCATACATGGTGCCCAACGGCCAACCCACAGAGTTCACCCTTGGCCAAAAAGCGTTCGTGGAGGCCTTGAAAACTGGCATGAGGTCCTCCGGTACCGGTGTGGGGTCCTCGGGCATGGGGATGGAGCCCTCGAGCATTGGCCTGGAAAGAAACCCTTAAGAGCCGGTGAGCCTGCATGGGCTCTCCGACTTGGCTAACGAAACATAGTTGTGCAAAATAAATGTTTGTAAACCCTCATACCAGATTTGTATACCCGCTTACGACTTGCTGACGAAGTTTTGTAAATACAATTCGAAAGCTCCGACCCGAACGATTTCTTGTGGAGTAAAGTTCCCATTTACTTATTACGTGTACAGGAGTAGCGCAACCTCCTGTCTCGGTAGTTGCTACTCACCAGATCGGTGACATCGCAGGGCGCTCCGGCGTCGAGCAGGATGTGCGCCACCTGAACGTGACGCCGACGCAGCGCCAGGTGGAGCGGGGTGGCGCCGGCGGCGTCAGTGACGCTGACGCACCCGCCGGAAGTCACCAGAGACCGGACGGCGGCCACCAGTCCGCGCGCCGCGGCGCAGTGTAACGGCGTCTCGCCCTCCTGGGGGACGAGAGGTGGGGACATTAGCGTAGGGTGTTCGTAGCGTGGTGTTGTTTGGGAACTATCCCGCAATGTACTGAAGTATGCTGATCGATCCACTGTTAAAAAAGCGACAGCAAAAATGAAAAGCCAAGCTATTTTCCAGGCGAACACTACTGGCTGGACGACACAAACTGTTCAGCAAGAGGAATAGGCTTCGTGCGAGGGTGTCGGAAGACAAAGCGGCATAGTGACGTGTGGAAATACCTTATTTATCTTTGCATCTAGCTTACATATATGAACCCATTGGGTCTAACCTTACTTAATAATGTTAATAGCCACGGATTGCGTCGTGAGAAATCGACGGCAGCACAAAAAAAAAAACGAAGCAAAAGTGTGCACGGCGGCCGCCGCTGAGGCGGAGAGGGTTAGTGCATCACCTGAGTAGGAATGGTTCCACAGTGTCGGTGTCTCGGATGTAGTCAGTCACCTCACCTGGTTCACAGTGTCTGTGAATCAGGTGTCACCTCACCTGGTTCACAGTGTCTGTGACTCGGGTATCACCTCACCTGGTTCACAGTGTCTGTGAATCAGGTGTCACCTCACCTGGTTCACAGTATCGGGTGTAGTCTGTCACCTCAGCTGGTTCAGTGCCGGCGTAGTCCGCCACCTCACCTGGTTCACAGCATCAGTGTCGTCCGCCACCTCACCCTGGTTCACACTTCACAGTGTTTGCTGTCACCTCACCTGGTTCACAGTGTCGGTGTATCGGGTGTAGTCCGCCATCTCACCTGGTTTAGTGTCGGTGTAGCTGTCACCTCACCTGATTCACAGTGTCGTTTGTCATCTCACCTGGTTCAAAGTATCGGTGTCACCTCACCTGGTTCACAGTATCGGTATCGGCTCCGGCAGCGATCAGCAGCTGAGTCAGCAGCGGAAAACCGTGCCAAACGGAGGCGTGCAGAGCAGACTCTCCGTGCTGTCACACAAACACAAACCATTGGACACAGCCGGACACAACAGCGACTCTCCGTGCAGTACAAACCAAGATAAACAAACAAACACTCGGACACAGGCGGACACAACAGCGAATATCCGTGCGGTACAAGCAAACATAAACACACACAAACACAAGCACACAATCTCGGCCACGAGCGCTGAGTGAACTCCAATACGGGATATTCACATATGCGTGTCGAGGCACACAAAACGGTCATCAAATGAGCAGGCACACACACATGCAGGTGCTTGGCCGACATAATGTTATATGTAGTGAATGAGCGGGACAACAATGTCGCCTACAGTGACGAATTTAATAGGTAAGCGACACTCACCATCTAGCAACAAGAAAATCCATGCGGCTTGCAAATATGGTTGAATGTTCAAGTAACATGAGAATTAAATAATGAAAAATATATGCTTTGTTAAATAAGCAGGCAATGCTGCCACAAAATGAATAAAATGAGCATTTAACTTGACCAAAATGTTCTTAGATAGCAGGAAACACGAAAGTGACCGGTGCATGCTGGAGTCTGCCGTTTGTGGCACGCAGTACTCACGTCATCCTGCGTATCCAGTATCACGCCAGCCTCGCACAGTATTCGCACCACGGGACCGTGCCCGTACTTGCAGGCGACCAGAAGCGGGGTCTCTCCACACTTTAGGGCGAAACAGAACAACACTTCACTCAATGGTCGCACCACCGTCCTACTATAGCAACACTTAGTGGTTCATTGGTAGAATTTTCGTTAATTCAACTCTCAGACAATGGGAATATAATGTTCTCATTCCTCGCAGTTCACGCCTCTCACCTTATTCTTGCAGTCGACGTCGGCGCCCTCCGCGATCAGATAGCTCAGCACAGCGGGATGGCCGTGCCGAGCCGCCCAGATGGCAGCACTGTCGCCGCGCTCGTCGACCCTGTCCAGCTCGGCGCCCTTTGACCTCAGCGCCTGCACCACCTCCAGCTGGCCCACTCCAGCGGCCACGTGAACTGATGTCTCACCTTGCTGTAAGAGGGTGGCATTGGTACAGGTGATTATGGGACTGTCAGATGTTCACATGGGAAGTAGGAGACAGATGAGATAAAACGAAGAAGTGACGTAACGAATGGAAAGTTGCGGCGGGCATGAAGATTGGAGACTGAGGCGAGATAACCAGACTGACAACCCGGACCAGATATTGTTAGCTATTCCAGGCCGTAGACCACTGTTCTTTTGAAGTTGCCGTCTACCGCCTTTGGTGTCCATATAGGTAAACTATTCTTAATGCCTCGCCACCGTTAAATTTAATCCAAGCATTCAGAATCAGCTGATCCTAGAAGGTAACGCAAAGCACATACTGTTATTCGTGACGTTCTGAGCTTTACTTTACGACGAAAATAAATAAGGAACACCATAAAGCAGACAGTATTATTATGAGCGCAGAGCGATAAAGAACAATAACGGCATATACATGGAAACACATGCACCGTTTTGGTAATCCACTTACTCGGTTTGAGACATTGGGGTCGATTTTCGCCATCGAGAAGAGCCTCTTGATTCCAGCGACGTTGCCCTCCTCCGCAGCGCAGAAGAGAGCAGACACAACAAAACTCTCATCCTGTCCGAAGAGACAAGCATTGGCGTGAATCAGAAGCAGCAATCGACTTCAAGGAGGTACAAACGTCTCTCAAACGATTCCCCCTGGTCCTGGCTCATGATACAAAGTCACCCACTGTGGAGTTATCGGTTAGAAATACCGAGAAGTAGAAGCATCAGTTGGGAGTGACGTCACACTGTCGGCGTAGCTATAGGTACCGTATCGGGGAGGATTAGAGTTGGTGCCATTCGCCGATGTCTGAGCCAACAGTATCTATCTATCTTTAATCTGTCGCCTTGCGTCATTCGCTGTTTTTTACGTCCACCAATACACGCTATAGGCTCCTTCTTCGCCCAAGCCCGAAACGACAGGAAAATCAAATCATGTTAACTTGTCTACAAACTCGAGATATGGCCAATTTCACAAATAACGTTAAAAAACAAGAAGACCTTATTACAAGTGCGTCGTAACTTGTATTTATTTATGACGTTGACCGCCGACTGACCTGATACGCGGCCACGGCCAGGTCACTGACGGAGACGGCCGACATCTGGGCGCCCTCGTCGAGCAGCTCGAGGCTCTGACTCCGACTGCGCAGCTTGGCGCTCCGGGACAGCCGGTTACAGAGCGTGATGACTCGCAGCGACAGCTGGGGCACAGAAGACAGCGAGCTCAGATCAGAGCTTGGAAAAACGGAAACAGACGTAAGAGGTAAGGCAGTGGGTAAAGTACGGACAAGCAACACGCAGCGAGGTAAGAATAACAGGACGCGATTATTTGAATCTTTACGTAAACGTGGAGGTTTCTTTATTGCAGACGACAGCCATCGTTAATGGACAAATCCAAATTGAATCCAAATAGCGCGCCATTTATTGCATTCAATCAAGAAGAGTTGTATCATGAAGCTGATAAAACAACCGATAAGGGAAGCAACTACGCATGACAAAAGGTATGAACGCAGTACGCACTATGCTGTGGTAACAGATGTGGTGTCGTTAGCAATTATGACGTGTTAAGTGCTCCGGAAAAAACAACCATAGCGATATAAAAGCAAAACCATTCATAAAAAGGAGACACTTAGCGAGTACCGTGTTATGCATTCGGCGGTTGTGCAAAGAAACGTCTTACAGACATCGAAACAAGACCAAAGGATGATGACTTTTCGATTTATATCTTTTACATGGGTGATGATTTCTTCGGAGTTGAGGGTGCCCCAGCGCTACTAATTCCCCGCGGCCCTAGCGGCGACCTTGACCCATGCCGTCTGTTGCGGCTGCAAGGCTACGTCGGCGTATATTTGGGAGAGCTAGGGCACCCGGAACTCGGCAGATATTGACAACCATGCTTTTTCATTTTATTAGGGGTCGGTACGAATTTTTAGATAGTTCTTTTCATATTGCAGTATGAATCACATGTCATCAATTCAACCTTTTCGGTCAGTTTTTATTCATGTTCCCTCCTTGTCCCTTAGACTGTGATTTCCTCCCTTCCCGTTACATTTTGGCTCTCTGTCAGTCATGCCGCCGCTCCAGCCACCTACCTTCCACCTCCTTCGTGCCTGGTACGTCTTCAGGTTGTCGATGTTGACGGTATTCACGTGTAGCTCCGTCATCTGCAGCTTGGTCGGCGGCTAGAAAAGGCACATATTGAATCGATGTTAACGGTAGACGTATGGAACAACAAACAGTCGTAACATGAAACGAAAACGAATTCTGCCAAACTTCATTCGCTTTCCGTAAACAAGTACTTGAAGTGTGCTGGTGAAGTAACTGGCCACGCACAAGAGGAAGACAACAATGCATTATAAACAAATCGCAATAAAGATAACAAAATATCAGCGACTCACATGAATCCAGGGATGGTTGAGACAATCTTGTACAGTGGCACGGTGCCTGGTGGCAGAAATACGATAAATATAAGAAACAGACACAAAAGAAAGGCTCAACAGTTACGGTATCGCTCAAATAGCTTATAAGACGCAATAGCGACTCATGGAACTGGGCTGATCAGGTGTGATGGGTAGCATTTCACCGGTTAGGTACCTACTGTTGTAACTTCCTGATCAGCAACACCACACCGCCTCGCTGGAGCCGTCTGAGACTTTGACCCGGTTCTGGACCCCCT